TATATATATATATATATATATATATATATATATATATATATAAATATACGTATAATTTCAGTTTTATTTTCTTTCTTAATTTCCCGTCGTTATGTATAATAATAAATTCATAGATGCAACTTGTTTCCAAAAATATTTTGCACGAACGCCACTTTTACTTTTAATATTTTCACTTTCGAGGTTGCACGGCCACCATAAATCTACCATCTCTCATGACACTAATGGCTGCGTTACTCTCCACGCCAGTTAAACCATCCACACATGTTCTACCTTCATCCTTTATCTCCATTTTTTTTTTTTATGAAATATTTAATTTTTGCCAACTTCCCCCTCCCCTCTTATGAATATTTTCCCCCTTTCATTCATTGAGAATAAAAATCCACGAAACGTGTCTTAATTCGAATATTTTAATTCAAATTATTTTTCATCGCTTTGTTGAGGAAACACTTGTGTAAATTCGTTCAATAAATTCTCGAAAATAAAAGGAAATACACTGTGTTTGATCGTCAGTCGTGATTCGTTTATCTATACTACTTGCCCATAGAGTCGTAAAGTCAGACGTTCTACTTTAAACACCTCGTAAACCTAACAAACCTTCAGATCGAATCAAACTTATCTCACGAATATATCTCAGTATGAAAAATAATTATCCGAAAAAAGAATTGAAAAAAAAAAAAAAGAAATTCGTCATTCATTGATCCATACTACTTGAACCATACAATAAATTCACTCGGCTGACCGATCATCGATATATTCCACTTAAAAAAAACTCTCTATTCACACTTTCTTCAAATTACTCACAACTCAAATGAATTAATCCTGAATTAACCCGATAAATTTTTAATTTATCCTCCAAGTTATATCCCACCTATATACATATATACATAAAAATAAAAATACAAAAGGATTAATAAAAGCACATTGTCTGCACGAGCACTATCATATATTAAAAAAAGCAACAACCGCCGTTAAAAGAGGGAATCACGTTAGAGCCGCGTAATCATTCGCCACGCCACGTGACTTTTCGTCTCGTGGAAATGTCAAGCTATAATGGAGTCCCTTTTATATATATATATATATACATATATTATATATGTATATCGATCGGCCACCGTTTCACGTGACGCGCCATCCCCTCCCCTGCAGAATAGCAACACGTGAGGGGAAAAAGCGTTACCTACTTGCGTGAAGAAGTAGTAGTAGACCTTCATGCCACGATCGGCGAACAATTGGGCGAAGTGGATCGAGGGACAGATGAAGAAATAGTCGCCAACCACGTCCGCAACCATTTTTTGGTAAATGTAGCCGTTGTACACTTCCTCCCAGTCCGTGTACTGAAACAGAAAGATATTTCCTTCCCGTTAGAGGGGGGGAATTATTGTCCACAGAAGGAGTTCAGTTTTGATTAAGAACATGATTAAGAGGGTCGAAATTGAATTTGTATTTGTACGTGTCTGGGATGAGATCTCTTTGATCTGCGTTATTGCGCGGATACGAGTTTATTGTTTGATCGAATTTTCGTTTCAATTTAATTTTCAAGAATAATTTGGCAAGGATTTATTATTGTGCAAGAATTTTATAATAAATCTCGATCGATATTTTTACGATTGTATTGAAAATAAAAATTTTCAAGAATTCTATAATAATTCACGATCTAATATTTATTATACGACTGTAAAAATAAAATTCTTCCAATCAATATTTTTAAATATCGATTTCACACTAAAATTCCTCTCAAATTTCGACTCGAAGCTTGGAATAATCTTATTTTCTTCCCGCGACGAAACGATTCACGAAACGATCTTATTAGAAAAATTGGAACCCTTCGAAATCGCAGCAACAACAATAACATCGTTCAGATCAAATTGAACGAATTCTAAGAGAAACAAAATGTTTTTCCTTTCGATTAATGAAATCGTTACCTCTACCCTTTTCTTCTTCTTTTTTCGCCATTCACGCCATCACCAGAATAATTTAAGGCTTCGAAGAAAAAAGCAGAACTTTTTCTTTTTTTTTTTTTTGATCCAACGCGGTTTTAAACGGCGGACAATTTTCTGATTCTTTACGGCGCGGTGAAATTCACGGTTCCCAGTTATCGAGCCCCGTTCATCACGGTTATACCGTAAACACCAGAGGCCCGATCGATACCAGGCCGATTATTGCTCTCGGTTTAACTGAAAATATAAACGGCCATTTTGCTCGCCGCCGCAATGTTGTTAATTGTCCTCTTGAAAAACTTTTCCTCTGCATCCCTGTTTGCATCCTCGAATTTATTTTCTAACGAGACAAAATTCGAATTTTCTTCCTCCGCGTGTCCGTGTATACGTAATTACGATAAGAATACGATTTTTTTTTTTATTTTTGCTTCGATTCATCAAATTTAAATCGGAAAAGAATTTTGTAATTGGAGGGAATTGTTTAAAAGAATTTTTTAGAGAATTCAAAGTAGTTCATCAATTCGAAGGAGAGGGTAAAAACCTTTTAATTATGAATCACGATTTATCGATTTATTATCCGCACGAAAAATCAGTATCAAAAATATTTTAGCATATCGTTTAACCCGAGAATGTAAGAGTTTCTTCTTTCACGTTACACTCGACGATTCTTCTCGCTCCACGATTCGTTGATCAAATTTGAGGAAAAAGTTAGGGATGGAATCAATAGAAGGATGTACATCGAATCAATAATAAGGACAACGAAACGAAAATTTGGAATCTCCTCGGTTTCGAGGTGAGAGCATTTCTCGAATAAACAACGATTGCTTCCTTCCATCGAGGAATTATCGAGCAGAATTTTCGTGAATAATGGAGCATCGTTAATTGACGGGCGCAGACTTAAGGAGGATGATATTGGAGGCGAAAGGATTCGAGTGAAGGAGTTGAAGTGCTCCTTAAACGAATCGACATTGGAACAGTGGGAACTAACTACCAATGATTCTCAAGATTCTTCGGCATTGATAAAGAGCTGAAGGGGGGGAGGGGGGAGGAGGGGAGAGGAGGAAGTGAAAGATGCGAGGTTTGCGCACGGATTCCATTTTGCTCGTTCGTGATTGACGGAGAGATGGAATTTAATATTACGAGATGTAATGTCTCGAGAGAAGGGAATCAATTAAATCTTTCCTTCTGTTTTTCCAATGGTTCTTTAAATTGCAATCTGTACGATCTCGAGGAAGGTATGATTGCAAAAGATGGCTGTACTCACTTCTTACTTCTGTGTGTAATTTGTATACGGCTTTCTCTTGCCTTTCAAAGTATCAAAATTGTAATAAGAAGAGAGGAATAATTGCTAAAGATTGGTGTGACTGATTCTTACTTCTATAGACTTGCCTTTAAAAATTGTTTAAAATGCAAGAAGGAATAATTGCAAAAGATGGATGTACTGACTCTTACTTATGATGCAATGTCTTGTCTTCAGAAGTATCAAAATTGTTTAAGAAGAGAGAAATAATTGCAAAAGATGAGTATACTGATTTTTAGGCTTGCTTTTAAAAATTGTTTAAAGTACAAGAAGGAATAATTGCAAAAGATGTACTGATTCTTACTTATGATGCAGTGTCTTGTCTTCAGAAGTATCAAAATTGTTTAAGAAGAGAGAAATAATTGCAAAAGATTGGTGTGACTGATTCTTACTTCTATAGATTGCCTTTAAAAATTGTTTAAAATGCAAGAAGGAATAATTGCAAAAGATGGATGTACTGATTCCTACTTATGTCTTGTCTTCAGAAGTATCAAAATTGTTTAAGAAGAGAGAAATAATTGCAAAAGATGAGTATACTGATTTTTAGGCTTGCTTTTAAAAATTGTTTAAAGTACAAGAAGGAATAATTGCAGAAGATGTACTGATTCTTATTTATGATTGAGTCTTGTTTTAAAAAGTATCAAAATTGTTTAAAAAGTGAGGAATAATTGCAAAAGATTGGTGTGACTGACTCTTACTTCTATAAACTTGCTTTTAAAAATACCAAAATTGTTTAAAATGCAATGTTTTGATATAATTAGAAAAGATCAAAGTTTTGCAGTCATCGAAGAGATGTTAACTTTTTTTTTTTGACACTGTTATTTACTGCAGTTTTAACGATATTGAAATTGTTTACAATGCATTTTCGAGGAAGGTGTACAAAATAATATGCAAAAAGAAAAAGATATTAGATTCTGCTTTCCCAACTCAAAATCGCAATTAAAATTTTTCTTTTCACCAAAAATCCTGAAAACAATCTTTCTTCTCATCTTGTAATTTATCAACCAACGTAACACCGTGCTCTAGTATTTTCGCCCATTCTCTTTAAAATTAAAAAAAAAAAAAAAAAAAAAAGAAAAAAAAACGAAAATAATCGAATCTTAAAATTTAAAAACTTTTGATTTCTAATTCAACCACATGTTCGACTTTCTTCTCAATCAATCACGAGTACGTAATTTCAAAATATTGAGAACGGATCAGAAAACAAGAAGAAGAAGAAGAAAAAATGAACAGTGCAACTTTGATTGCTCTGAAAGATTGCTCCAACAAGTTTGATGAAACGAGACCTCCCCCCTCCCCCCCTCACCCTGGGACCAAAGAAAACCACCACAGCTTGATCCCATCCAGCAGTGTAATTAACCTCCTCAACTCGGCCATTTCTCCGTGAAATCCATCTTGTACACTGCCGCCGCCACTTTCTGAAAATATCCTGTCACTCGTGTCGTTCCCCTTTGAGGGAAGCATCGATGTAATATCACCGTTCCTTGGACACCGTTCTTCTCCACCTTTTTCTTTCACGATGCTCGAAATCACGTAGACGCTCCAGATCCCTCCCTCCCTCCCTCCCTGGCCGAGAGGGTGGGTCATACATTTTAATGGGAAATCACCGTTGGAATTAGCATACCGACTATATGGTGGGCGGGGTGTCGATTAAAACAGATGCAAATGAACAGGGTGTCTCTCCGCTATTATTTTCTGAACGATTACTGGAGCGTCGTCGTGGTGCCCCGTTGTTAATGAAACCTGTGAACAGATCTAATTCTATCCCAGCATCACTCTGCTGGAGTATAATGGTGGTGGTGGTGGTGGAAAAGGGATTGTAAAATTGGGGGTTGATTTTTAGAAGAATTGAATTTACTTGAATCATCAACTTTGCCGATTGATATTTTTGTAAAAGCTGCATGCTTTGAGGAAAAATTTTGAGAATCGTTTAATTTCACCTTTTTATTCGAATTTTTTCTTATGAAGTGATAGACAGATAATTTGAAATTAAGATTAATTATGGACTTAAAACGCGTTATTGTTATTTGAATATTCCAATCAGAAGAATATATGTATGAGTTGTACGTTCAGGTTAGTTTTACTTTCTGCCAAAATGTATGTTTAACTCTTCAAAAAGGAGTGCTGTTGTTAAAAGTCAAAATTCAATTTTCTTGCTTCAGTGTTAAAAATCTGTAATTACTTTTCAAGTTTTCAGAAAGAGATTAGGATATTTTATATTAATTAAAAAAAAAAAAAAAAAGAAAAATGTACAAGCCACTCAAAAATTAAAATTCAACTTTCTTATTCCAAAATCTATAATTACTGTTCAACCTCTCAGAAAGAAATTAAAATATTTTATATTATATAAAAAAAAAATGTACAAGCCGTTCAAAAATTAAAATTCAATTTCCTTATTCCAATGCCAAAATCTGTAATTCAACCTCTCAGAAAGAGGTTAGAATATTTTATATTATATTAAAAAAAAAAAAAAAGAGAGAGAGAAATATATGAGATATACTCACTTAAAATTTCAATTTACCATCCGACTACTCGTTTCTTCCATCCACTGTACACACATATCCCTAGACAAGGTGAAATTAACAATTTTGTCAAGGGCGCAGGCGACATGATAGCCTTGGCTGCCTCTCGAGGCTTTGATCAAAGTTTCAACCGCGTAATCTCACTTCTTATCGAAGAGGGAAGGAACAAATTGTCGGTGACAAATTGGGAGAAGGGTTGCTGATCCTGAGATACGTTTAAATCGGAACAATTCGCCGATCTTTTTAAATCGTCGAGTTAATCACAACCTCTCCAATCTTTCGTAGATCCACGTATGTCTTCGTGTATATCGAAATCGTGTTTAAAAATTCAATTTTTACAAAATTTATTTTGTATCTGCAAACTTGAGAAACTTGTGTATGTGTCTCGTGGATGAATAAAAAGAGGAAAGGAAAAAATTTTCGATTCGCCACACATTTTTACTACTACAGACTTTTCCTTCGAAACGTTCTCCAATTATTTTTCGTTGGTGAAGCTCGGTTTACGGCTAAACTGCTCGTGTGGAGTCCCTTCACGCATCGGGAAGTCGTGAAATCGATGCAGAAACGGAGCGAGT